TCACCTACATGACTGGTTTAGAGCTAATTGTCTCACGATCAATGTACATAAAACTAAGCTTGTTTGCTTTCATAACCCACTTAAACTTATAACTACCGATCATCCACTTTATATGCATACATCTCGGTGCACACCTTGCGACTGTCGTCCTGTGTCTTATGTGGATCAAGTTAACTATCTAGGAATACAATTTGAGAGTGACTTGTCGTGGAAAGCCCATTTATCACAACTTTGTAGAAAACTGCGAAAAGTATCCTGTTTTCTGTATAATGCCAAATCTCTAATACCCATTTCAACCAAAAAGACAATAACTCACGCTTTAGCATACAGTGTATTACGCTACGGAATAACTATTTTTGGTCACAGCCCAGGACTATGGGGCAAAAAAATTGACTCAGTTTTAAAAGGAATATTTAAAAGCATAATGTACGGTGCAACGTCACAAACTGAAGAAGAAATGCTAACATGCTTGGGTTTGCCTTTTTTTTATCCTTTACTTGTACACACGGTTGTTCTAAAATACTTCTGGAGCGATACTTTTAAGGTACCTCGTGTCTTATGTAGACCTCTTCGGCGTGTTGAGCGGTTTGAAGTGCCTTTCGTAGAAACAAAGTACGGAAAAAGAGTGCGAAATGTTTACGTTCCATTTATTTTCAACAATTTACCAGATGATATCTATGCTGTGGACTCTTTAAAAAAATTGAAAGAATCACTTCAAGGTATTAGGGAGAAGTTGTGACTGCATGTTTCTGTTTGCATATGTTGGAATGACCATCATCACCAACATTGTTCTGCATCTGTAGTTGAATTTCAGCTGTGAACTTCTTGTTTGTGGGGACTCTTTCAAGCATGAATTGTAGGGTGCTGTCCCACAAGCCGCTTCTGGCTTTGATAGGCCCGTGTATCTGCCTTGTTAAATGCGTGTTCCAATAAAAATTTATTATTTATTATTATTATTATTATTATTAAATTACCATTTTTCCTGTCAGTTTTTGGAATCTTTGTATTTTTGTGGCATTTATGATTGCATGGTTTAAGGATCACCACAGTTCTTGTCAGATTAACTCAAACTTCGCGAAACACAAATATGTTATTAGCGTGCCGTCAAATATAGGGCGTACGTATTTTCGGGCGATTCTTTTTCTTTTTTTAATTCGCAAATTTATTTTATTTTGCGGTCAGCAATTAACAACCTACGCACCACGATGACAGTCCATGGTGGGGATGTGGCCTTGAAGAAGCTGAAACGATTTGATTTTCATTTCTTAAAATAAAAAAAAATAAAGATGAGCAACAGCTCTTGCTCCTTTTTCAAATTCGCAGAATAGTGAGGTAATGGGACGTCCATAATGTGGCGCGCACCTCACGAATAAGTAATTAGATATTAGTTTCGAATATTAGAACGTGTTTTAATATATATTTTGTCGTTCTCGACGCAGGCGTCGACGGACATTACGATGCCGCTTACGCCCCTGTCGAGGTGATGAGTGCTACTGTTGACACGTTGCCACGACACTATATCGCGCTATAGACTCGCCTATTTGAACCTCATGCAGTCTGAAGAGAGAGCTGTTTCGAATGTCCGTGCACTTGTCATCGGTGTAGACAGAGCAACGACGTAGCAGTCTCGACATGGGAGCAGACTGCTCCTCGCTCTGCAGAAATGTGAACGTGGGACTCTCGAGCACGGTTAGCTTGCTGATGTTGCAGGTCGCTGCTTTGTCGTGTAGGATACATTGCCTCGCGAACACCTGCGATGCTGTCGCAGTCAGTGCTCGGTGCTCCACCCGCTCAGCATCGCAACATTTCCGGAGCATGTTGGCAGTATGCGAGCGCGGGCGTTTCATTATCGCGACTTGACTGCGAGTATTTTTTTATGAACCCCCGCGACGATGAACCACCAGACCTCACAGACAGAAGGTTATGATGCTGCGTGGACGGTTGTTGAAAGGCGCTGTGTAGGGCACGCGGAGCTCTTCAACTGCTTCGCAGGCCTTCAAAGTGCAGACGATTTGTCACGACAAAGAGCGCCTTGCATCTTCAGAAAGCTAACGCTGCTCAAGAGTCCCACGATTACATTTCAGCAGAGCAAGTGCGGTCGGTCAGATGGAGATGTATTCGGCGCTCGCATGGCGAATGCTACGACGTTGCTCTGCATGCTTGTCAAACCGCCGTGCAAGTGCTGGCGCTCTGTACTTCAGTTTTAGACAGGCTAACCGCGTAAGGGAGAGCCGTTTCATTAAACCGGTGCAAGTTTCTGGTCACTGGTCACCTGCTTCTGCAAACTAGACACCCGTTTGAACAAGCGGACGACCTGCTTTATCAAACGAGTGACCCGTTCACTCAAACGCGTGACCCGATTGACAAACGGGTGTTTGGTATGGGTAAACCGTTACCAGTATGAATATAGTTACTTGTATACAGGTGCCAGATTATCTTTTTTTTTTTTCAGAAGGGTTCTGCTTGAATGATTTAGTCAGTGTCGGCATACGCACTACACTGTGTTCCGCTCTAAGCTGAGACTGCGGTGGAAGCTACGAGGTCCTTAGACAAGTCATACGTCGATCCTTCGCGACGTGATTATGCTCTCGTCCACATCTCTTTTGTTGCCCTCTGAGGGTACTCTAATAAATAATTTAATAACTAAATAAATAAATGTATCAGGTTGTTATTTTCCTCGATGATCTGGGCCACTTACCTCCGGAGATTTGTTTCTATCACATACTTTCAGTGCTTTCTCTTTAGGACGAGTGCATCATCGCATCATTGCAACATACCTTACTACATCATTCAATCAATCAATCAATCGATCAAAATTTTATTCGCGCAAAAAAAAAAAAGATAGGTTTATAACAAATTGCCAAGAGACCTCTGAGAGTCAATTAAGCTGTCAGATTTCGCCTATTATAGACGCATAAAGTAAGAGGTGTTTAGCCTGGATTAAAATATTTCACCTTTTAATTAACAATATAATGTAGGTATGTATTTCCAGAATCCTTAAAAGTTCTTACCAACTATGCATGTTTCTAACTCTTGGCTATTATCGACTGCAACTCATTACTGGGACACACTGTTACAATAAATGTCCCTAACAACTTTGTGGCAGCTACTGAACTCTTTTTCTCTAACTCATATAACAGTTGTGTATTATTGACTTCGGTTACTGTGTTGAATTTGTCTGTTTTTGTTTTAATATATCCAATTTATTCACTCACGTATTACATGAGAGGGTTTTCAAAAAATAAAAAAAAACGACGATGATGATCCGTATAAGGTACCTTTCCTTGACAAAGGAGGATGCTTGCACATTTTTTACTCGCGCCTCGCTCGCATCGCTCATCTTAAAAGTAAGCAGCGCGGTAGCTAGCAGCATCAAGTTACATCACCGAGCTGTTAGCTGACTTAGTGCAGAATCAGTCCATAAGCCTCAGATTACCAGAACAATTCAGTCTTACAGTGGAATGAGCTAAAAAAGCTCATATAGCATAAGAATATTGGTGTGTATTTAAGGTATTAATTACCGGAGATTCTAATAAACATTGTATCGATTCACTGTTGTGGAACATAGTCGACAAATGATATGGTTAGTAGATAATAAGTCTGCTGTGAGACTTCTGACAAGTCCTATTATATTCATGTGTTCAATTAACTCGTTTATTTTACACTTACAGGTCCTTATTGAGGACATGAAGCGTGCCCGGGGGGAGAAACACATTCACATAAAAATAATACAAAAGTCAGCAAAAAACATATATAAATTTTAGGAAGTAGAAACGCAACTATGCCAACCATTATTTATCTAAGTTAACACTATATGCACAAAGAATCAAGCAGATGGCACACTTTTAAATACAAAACTAAGCAAGAGCGGAATATATCCGGGCACACGGTTGAGGCTATGTTCTCATGTAGTTAATTCCATTCAGATGTTGAAAGTGGAAAAAAGGAGTTAAATTAATGCGTTATTAGATTCAGATATGCGTTGTACAGAGTTCGAGTTTCTTAATCTACAAAAATATCGAAAAGGGGGTACTGTTTGGACGTCAGCGTGATGGTGGTACATTTTATGCAGGAGACATTTATTGATTTAGGACGCAATCACATGCGCTTATACACTATATGTAGTCTTTCGCATTATGTATAATAAATACATTGCATTTTCCCAGCCGTAAATGTTTTAAGTACGGTGGCAGTATTGTTGACTAGCGTCATGCTATATAAGTCACATTCGTAACAATATTATATTGGTCTGCTTGTAATCCAATACCATTATTTAAAAGCGTTTAAAAAAATCTGATATAATATATTATCAAAATGAAATCAAGTAGCTTCTTAAGTCCACGTCGTTCTCTTGCTATGTTTTTATCGTTTCGTACGTAATTTAATGGAGTAATTTATTTATAACGTTATTGCGTGCAGTAATTGATCTAAAGTTGATTCGCATATCATATGCTCAATTGTTTTCAACTTAATTGCTATTACGTCCATAAAAGCTAAGAAAGACTACACATTTCGCAGTCCTCGTCGACAAATAAACTAAGCGTTATACATTGTTTTACAGTTTCGCTTCGGGACTCATCAGTCATTTTACTAATTCAAAGTTTATAAAAGAGTTTTCTAGTATCACTTGCGACTAAAGCTAAATTAATTTGAGCAGCCTTGCAGCGGCAGAGGCGTAGAAATTGTTTCGAATGGCGGAACCTTTGCGCCCCGCTTCCCACCAGGCTATCCGGTGTGCAACTGGAAAGGGACTGGCTGTTCGTGACAGGCCTTATCCAAATCACCATCTCTACGAACATGACATTAAAACGTACTAAGCTACGTGGATACCTTCTTGTCTAGCTTTTGATGAGCGAGCTGAGAGACCAGTCGAGTTGATAAACAAACAAAAAAACTAGAGAGCACGATCAGGAGCCTCACATCACCTCACCGAAGGTAACATCCAATTTCGGACCACCAGACGCTCACCTAGGGAAGATATTTTGAGCAATAACACTCACAGACTTCCGGAGTTGGGATAAATACCGGTCCGCTTCATCGTCGGCGTTTCTTGCGAACGATGGGGTGCAGCACCGAACCGTACGATAAGGAGCGCGCCTTATCGGCGTTGTTAAGTCAACACAGGGTCCGTTCCTACTACGCTTATCATTTATTGCGTTTTGCTCGCTTGTGATAGAAGCGTAAAGGTTCCAGCACCCCTGCTGGGCCGCACGGAAAGCGCGTGGAGAGGATTGAATAAATAACAGAAGACTAAATCAAACAAACATCGTTCCGCTCTACATTTTTTTTTATCAAACAGAAAAATTCTATAGTTTCTGAATGCGAACTGAAATTGCACCATCGTTCACATACTTCGGCAACAACATTATTTAAGGCGGTCATCGTGCTTGTTGACAGCCCGTCCTCTGACGTTCGCAGAATTTTTTGCGATCACCACGCCACCTGGGAGCTAGCTAGTAAGACAGTATGCTCACGAAACGCTTGCCGGTATAAGACATACGAAATGCACGGCAGCAATTTTCGCTTTATTTTTAAACTTTTACCAACTTCTGTTCGATTCTAAAAGTATACTTAAAACTTTTTTTTTGCCAAAATACGTTGGCGCGCCCAGTTTGTACGTTTGGAATTCCAAATTTGCAAGGCGTGCCAAGTCTGTTGGTGCTTATGGCCGCACCCTGTACCCCGTGTTTATATAGCATAGCAATGCTGGCTATAGAAAACGCAAATGATAAAATTATGATCTATGGTTTTTAAACTTCATGGACACTCAAATTTAAAAATAAAACTCGTATAGACTAAAAGTCAAATTTAAAGTGAACTTTTGTAAACATAAACTTAACGGTGTCAAAATGTACTTTCTAAGAAGTTAAAACCTTTAAACTAGGAAATATTAAAAGGAGCAGTAGCTTGAGAAAACAAGTGTGTGATGTGTTTGTGATTTTAGTTATTTTTCTCATCACCGTATAAGAGAACATTTTCGGCCCGCAGGAAAATTTAGTCCCGTGAAAAGTATTTCCCGCAGCGACGATTGTCGGCGACAGACTTCCGGATTTATAGCCGGACTAATTACTCTGTATCTGAGTTCAGCAACAAATAAAAGTAAATAGCATGCGACATCGCTTTTAGTTCAAAGATGGCGATGTTTGAATGTCTTTAATTTTATGCTGCGAAATATAGTTCAGCCTAGGAACGTGAGGCGCTAAGAAGGATTTAATAAATGTGTGTATTCGGGATACCTTCTGTTTCTTTTTTTTTAAATTGCGTTTTGCGTTTGTGTTACAGTATTATTTTCTTGCGTTGCTACGCATAAAATTATATATATATATATATATATATATATAGAACAGCACCTGGGACCAAAAGACGGCACTCGAGAGAAATATGCTCAACAAAATATTAGCCCTTAAAGGAGTTAGCCGAGGAGGTTGCCAAAAAAGTGAGAGTGATGAAACGTTTCGGGCCTGGTAGGCTCTTCGTCAGTCAAGTGAGAAGACTTCGTTCTCCTTTTCTTTCAATCAAAGAAAAAACGGCCGGAAAAAAGAAGAAGAAGTTAATTGGAAAAATGCTTACCGTTTAGCGAGTACCTACTCAACTAAATTCTCGCTTAAAAGTTTAATATATCCCGATACCAATGCAATAAATACTATGGAAATAATAAGATATAATATTATTACTGCCATTCTTATCATAAAACCAGTTTTCGGGACATGTGGTTGGGTATAACCCAACTATACCTGGTGTCATGTGAAGCCAATGAGAGGCCCAATGTTACGCGTTTGCTCGTGTCACATTAAACGATGAAGCGAGAAAAAAAAAAAAGCAACAGTGCGGTACCGATTAGAAGATCTCAATTAAATGTCCATAAAAAAAGACGGCAATGATCCTTTCGAACTGTTAAGGCCCTTCGGTTCTAAAGTATTAAATCTATAGATAAATTCAGATTCTTTATTTTTTCGATCTCTGGTGGTTCGAAAGCCCCCCTGGAGTCTAATAAAATTAAAATCAGAAAGTCCGTTATGTCCTGCGGAGTTTAAGTGCCGGGAAACCGGTCCGGCAACGTGTTTACGTATATGACTTTTATGTAGGCTCATGCGTTTTCTTATGCTTGTTTTAGTTTCTCCTATGTATTGAATTTGGCATTTTCTACATTGAATTAAATAAATAACATTTTCCGAATTACAGTCAAAGGTACCATTTATTTTCCAATTAAAGTTATTCGCTGTGCTACGAATAGAGTTAGCTATAATTATGTCCCCACATAAACTGCATTGGTTATGATTGCACTTGGTGCAACCAATCGGGACCAGGCTACGTCCGATGGAGTTTCGGGACTGTTTAAATAAATCTAATAAATTACGTGGTCTCTTGAACGCTATACCAGGGGGTCGAGGGATAACTGCCTTTAAAGCTGTGTCCATGTGTAAAATATTCATGTGTCGTCTAAGAATATTGTTTATGTTTGGAAGTTTTGATTGGTAAGGTAAGATTAGTCGTAATTCATGATTATTTCTTTTCGGCCGCTCTACTAAACACGCGTTCCGAGAGATCGCTCGACTTTTTGATATAGAATTATTTATTAGCGGTAAGGGGTATCCACGGTCAATGAAATCCTCTCCTAGTGCTCTAGCTTTTATATCAAAATCCTTATCTTCTGAACATAAGCGTCTTAAGCGTAGCATTTGACTGTATGGTATACCTTTTTTGTTTTGCATTGGATGACAGCTTTTATAATGTAGAAATTGACGTCTATCTGTGGGTTTTCGATATAAGGTTGTTTTCAAACCATTTTCAGTAAGTCTTACCTTAATATCTAGAAACTCTATTTCTGTATCAGAGTATTTATACGTAAATTTAATATGTGGATTAAAATTGTTGGCAAAATTAATAAATTCAAAAAGCTTACTTTCCCCATTATTCCAAATTATAAATATGTCGTCTAGGAAACGTTTATAAAAAAAGGGGTTTATACGGGAAGGAGTTAAGTAGCCGCTCTTCTAAAGACATCATATATATATTTGCATAGGAGGGAGAGAAGCGAGATCCCATTGCTGCGCCATGTATTTGTAAATAATGCTCATTCATAAATATGAAGTTATTAAGCTCTAAAGCTAAGTGCATAAAAATATTTAAGACGCTTTTACTAACAGTGAGGTCGTTCTCATTAACAATATTAAGAACTGCTTGAATACCTTCATCATGCGGTATATTAGTGTAAAGAGACACTACGTCCATTGTGACAAGCAACGTACTATTAGTCCTAAAATCTATTTGGATATCATTAATCAAATTGAGAAAATGAGAGGAGTCTTACGTAGGACGGGGCACCGGCTGCAGTACTTTTAATCTGTTCATCAATAAAGGCGGAAATATTTTCTGTATTAGTACCTATTCCCGAAATAATTGGTCTACCTGGGTATAGGTACTATACCCAGGCAGGAATAGGCACTAATACAGAAAATATTTCCGCCTTTATTGACGAACAGATTAAAAGTACTGCAGCCGGTGCCCCGTCCTACGTAAAAGACTCCTCTCATTTTCTCAATTTGATTAATGATATCCAAATAGATTTTAGGACTAATAGTACGTTGCTTGTCACAATGGACGTAGTGTCTCTTTACACTAATATACCGCATGATGAAGGTATTCAAGCAGTTCTTAATATTGTTAATGAGAACGACCTCACTGTTAGTAAAAGCGTCTTAAATATTTTTATGCACTTAGCTTTAGAGCTTAATAACTTCACATTTATGAATGAGCATTATTTACAAATACATGGCGCAGCAATGGGATCTCGCTTCTCTCCCTCCTATGCAAATATATATATGATGTCTTTAGAAGAGCGGGTACTTAACTCCTTCCCGCATAAACCCCTTTTTTATAAACGTTTCCTAGACGACATATTTATAATTTGGAATAATGGGGAAGATAAGCTCTTTGAATTTATTAATTTTGCCAACAATTTTAATCCACATATTAAATTTACTTATAAATACTCTGATACAGAAATAGAGTTTCTAGATATTAAGGTAAGACTTACTGAAAATGGTTTGAAAACAACCTTATATCGAAAACCCCCAGATAGACGTCATTTTCTACATTATAAAAGCTGTCATCCAATACAAAACAAAAAAGGTATACCATACAGTCAAATGCTACGCTTAAGACGCTTATGTTCAGAAGATAAAGATTTTGATATAAAAGCTAGAGCACTAGGAGAGGATTTCATTGACCGTGGATACCCCTTACTGCTAATAAATAATTCTATATCAAAAAGTCGAGCGACCTCTCGGAACGCGTGTTTAGTAGAGCGACCGAAAAGAAATAATCATGAATTACGACTAATCTTAACTTACCAATCAAAACTTCCAAACATAAACAATATTCTTAGACGACACATGAATATTTTACACATGGACACAGCTTTAAAGGCAGTTATCCCTCGACCCGCTGGTATAGCGTTCAAGAGACCACGTAATTTATTAGATTTATTTAAACAGTCCCGAAACTCCATCGGACGTAGCCTGGTCCCGAATGGTTGCACCAAGTGCAATCATAACCAATGCAGTTTATGTGGGGACATAATTATAGCTAACTCTATTCGTAGCACAGCGAATAACTTTAATTGGAAAATAAATGGTACCTTTGACTGTAATTCGGAAAATGTTATTTATTTAATTCAATGTAGAAAATGCCAAATTCAATACATAGGAGAAACTAAAACAAGCATAAGAAAACGCATGAACCTACATAAAAGTCATATACGTAAACACGTTGCCGGACCGGTTTCCCGGCACTTAAACTCCGCAGGACATAACGGACTTTCTGATTTTAATTTTACTATACTCCAGGGGGGGCTTTCGAACCACCAGAGATCGAAAAAATAAAGAATCTGAATTTATCTATAAATTTATTACTTTAGAACCGAAGGGCCTTAACAGTTCGAAAGGATCATTGCCGTCTTTTTTTATGGACATTTAATTGAGATCTTCTAATCGGTACCGCACTGTTGCTTTTTTTTTTCTCGCTTCATCGTTTAATGTGACACGAGCAAACGCGTAACATTGGGCCTCTCATTGGCTTCACATGACACCAGGTATAGTTGGGTTATACCCAACCACATGT